GATGAAGATTAAAGACTACAGTCTGCAGTATGGATTACACTTCAATATAAAGAAAACCCAAATCCTCACAACTGGACCAATAAACAGCTTCACAATGGATGGAAAAAAGATTGAAATTGTGAAGGATTTCATATTATTTGGCTCTACAGTCAACACCAATGGGGAGGCAGCAGTGAAGACGTCAGATGCATATTGCATTGGGCAAATCTACCGAAGGGCAAAGGACCTCTTTCAAGTGATGAGGAGCAAGAACGTCTCCTTGAAGACTAAGGTGCACCTGACCCAAGACATGTTATTTTCAATCACCTCTTATGCATGAGAAAGCTGGCCAATGAATAAGGAAGACTGAAGAAGAGTAGATGCTTTTGAGTTGTGGTGTGGGATAAGACTGCTAAGAGTACTATTTTATGCTAAAAGGACTGTCCCACAGGAAGTGCAGCCAGAATGTTCCTTGGAAGTGAGAATGACCAGTCTTTGTCTCACCTATTTTGCTCATGTTGTTAGAAGGAACCATTCCCTGGAGAAGGATATCATGCTTGGTAAAGTGCAGGGTCAATGAAGAAGGGAAGGCCCTCAACAAGATGGATAGACACAGGGGCTGCTATGATGGGCTGAGGTATAACAAAGATTGTGAGGCTGGCACAGGGCCAGGCAGAGTTTCATTCTCCTGTGCATAGGGTTGCTATGAGCTGGAGATGACTCAATGGCACCAAACAACAACAACAAGCTCTTGTCAGTCCAGGAGATGGTTGAAGGTAGGTCACGAAGTAAGGGTCAGTATATTCTGCTGGCTGATGAGGCAATGGGGGATGGGACATAGAATATGGGACAGTCTTCTGCCATCTTAGGATGCATCTGTGGACTGGACACCCAGTCCAGGATGGCACTTCTAGCTGTGTAGGAGGGAGCTGGAGGCAGAGCCCACAGTCTGGGACATTCTGCACATTCTTCTGGCTAGAGAGAAGACAGCATATGGTTCAAAATTCAGTGGTGGTGTGCAAGCAGTGTCCAATTCTATTTCAAGAAATGGAGAGTCAAATAAAATTAAGTGAGGATGAATCAACTATTGCTCTAATAGTGTTAATTTCCTAAAAATATATGACAAAATTTAACATTGTATGAGGATTTAATTAGGATTTAATAATGATTAGTAGTTATATTACATTTATATTATTTTTGATTTTTGGTTGTATGTTGGAAATAGTTCCCAATTAAAAAAAAAAGGTAAAACCAACAAAATTTATTTAATAATGTAAGTAATAACAGCTGGAATACAAATGGAAAATAACTTAATTTCTTAAGAACAATAAATAAATAAGTGAAAGATAAATTGCTTGACAATATTTAAAAATATAATTTTTGCACTAAAATATAATAAAATATAAAGAAGTATAATTTAATAGATGCATATTTTATATTTTGCATATGTACCAGGAAATTCATTTATATTTTTCAGAACAAATTATAACATTATAAGACCAAAAGATAAACAGTTTAAAATTATGCAAAGCAAAGAACTTAAAGTAAAAATTCACAAGAAACTTCAAATAAACAATAATCATATGATAATGTCATATTTTTATCCAATATATAAACACATACATCTCTGTGTCTATAAATATGCTTTTATATATTAAAAACATATCCAAATGGGATTCACTGCTTATTGGCCTAATTGTGAGGATTTTTATTTTCTTTATACTGAGGTATATAATCTGTATTTTCTACTTCAGTCTTTAATTTCATCAGTAAGTGCTCCAAGTCATCCTCACTTTCAGCAAGCAAATTTGTATCATCTGCATATCACAGGTTGTTCCCCCAATCCTGTTGCCACATTCTCCTTCATATGGTCCAGCATCTTGGATTATTTGCTCAGCATTCAGATTGAATAAGTATGGTGAAAGGATACAACCCTGATGCACTCCTTTCTTGATTTTAAATCATGCATTATCCCCTTGTTACACTCAATCAACAACCTCCTGGTCTATGTTCAGGTTCCTAATGAGTACAATTAAGTATTCTAGAATTCCCATTCTCTTCAATGTTATCCACAATTTGTTGTGATCCACACAATTGCATGTCTTTGCATAGTCAACAAAACACAAGTAAATATTTTTTTTCTGGTATTCTTTGCTTTCAGATAAAATCCATCTGATATCAGCAATGACATTCCTTGTTCCACATCCTCTTCTGAATCCAGCTTGCATTTTTGGAAGTTCTCTGTCAATATACTGCTGCAACCATTTTTGAATTATCTTCAGTAAGATTTTACTTGCATGTGCTATTAATGATATTATTTGATAATTCCTGCATTCTGTAGGATCACCTTTCTTTGGGTTGGGTACAAATATGGATCTCTTCCAGTCAGTTGGCCAGGTAGCTATCTTCCAAATCTCTTGGCATAGATGAGTTAGTGCCTCCAGCACAACATCTGTTGAACATCTCCATAGGCACTGTTTTTTGCAAACTCCTTCAGTGTAGCTTCAACTTCTTCCTTCAATACCATTGGTTCTTGGTCATATGCCATCTCCTGAAATGGATGATCATCTATCAATTCTTTTTGGTACAGTGACTCTGTGTATTCCATCCATCTTCTCTTGATGTTTCCTGCATCATTCAACATATTGCCATACATATATCTTAGCCGTAACCTATGGTAATTCTTTCTTTTATATTTTGCATGGATATTTGTACTGTGCACACAATCATCTACTTACAGATTTTATAGGGTAATAATAATACCTCCTGAGCTTCTCTTTGAATTTGTAAGCTCTGTTATTATTGTGTCTATGTGTGTTTACTTACTGAGATAGCACTATAAATTCTAGAAAATAATTTGACAAACTTCCAAGACCATATATGAAGTAAGTTAGACAAAGAAAAAAAATATATATCAGTAGCCCAGATAATTAAGATGTATTATGTATTTGTATCCAAAATGTCTACCTTATTTAACAAACAATTTCTGATGTATAGCTTTCCTTATGGCTCTTTTCACATCTTTGTTCCTCAGGCTATAGATCAAAGGGTTTAACATAGGACTCACAAAGATATAAAAAACAGCTACAATTTTCCCCTGTACCACAGATGTCTCAGAAGGGGGCCTCAGATACATGCAGAACAGAGTTCCATAAAAGACGGTGACAGCTGTGAGGTGGGACCCACAGGTGGAGAAGGCTTTGCGCCTCCCCTCAGCAGAGCGGATGCGCAGGATGGCTGTGAAGATGAGAATATAGGAGATGAGGATAATAGTGAGAGAACAAGTGAGGTTCAAGCCAGCCCCCACAAACATGGCAGTTTCTTTGACAAAAGTATCCGAGCAGGCAAGGACTAGGAGAGGTGGGTCTGCACAGTAAAAGTGGTTGATCTCATTGGGTCCACAGAAGGACAATCTCAGCATCAGTATGGTCTGTGCCAGACCATTTGCAAAACCATAAATATAAGGAGCAGCAACCAGAGAGAAGCAGACACATTTGGACATTTTGCTACCATATACCAAGGGTTTGCAGATGGCCATGTAGCGGTCATAAGCCATGACTGTAAGCATGTAATAATCTGTGATCACCAGGGCAATGAAAAAGTGGAATTGTACAAAGCAACCAATGAAAGAAATAGTTTTTCTCTTGGATAAGAAGTTAACCAGCATCTGTGGAGTGACATTGGTGGTATAACAGAGATCTACAAAGGAGAGGTGACTGAGGAAGAAGTACATTGGAGTGTGCAGTTTTGAATCACTTCTAATTAGAAAAATCATGCTCACATTTCCAATGACTGTGATGAGGTAGATCCCCAGGAACACAACAAATAGGACGGGCTGCATGTCAGCTCGGTCGGTCAGGCCCAGGAGGATAAACTCAGTCACCACTGTGTAGTTTTTCTTTAACATTGTGTTTCCTTGGCTTCTGGTGAGGTCTAAAGAAAATGAATTTTTTTTTTTTTTTCCAGTCACTCTGAAAAAAGATTTTGATACTCTTTTTTCCTCAAATTTATAGCATAAAGAAATATCTTAGTGTTCATGTCATTGATATTTTAAACATTTATATCAGTACAAAATTCCCTATATATATGTTGTTGTTGTTATGTGCCGTTAAGTCAGACCCGACTCATAGTGACCCCTCTTCGGGTTTCTGAGGCAGTATCACTATGGAAGTAGATTGCCCCATCTTCCTTCCGAGGAGTGGCTGGTGGGTTTGGTTTGAACCGCCAGCCTTCTGGTTAGCAGTCAAGTGCTTTAGGCACTATGCTACCAGAGCTCCCCCCATATATATATGTGTGTGTGTGTGTGTGTATACACACACACACATATATATATATATGTATATACATATATGTATATATATACAGCATTAGTTTCAGATGATACCTTTCTGAAATTCATTATTATATCCACTTGCAATTTTCTTGGACATATGAATGTAAACATTATGTTTATTTGAGTTTGTATTATTTTCCTTTATAATACACCTTTTGATGCAGTATCCAAAATATCAGTCATGGAAAGTCCTCTCTGTCAGGCATGGATGAATTGACTTGGGGATAAGAGGGATTGGTGTGTGGAGCTTTATTGATCTAGGACCTCTTTCATTGCTCCTCTAAACCCAAGATCACTGATCATTTTCAAGATTGTCCCTCACCTGCCAAAGCTTATCTATTTTCTCCACTCTAGAACCTCCACTGGATCTCATAATAACTATTTCTCCTATCACTTAAGTTTTAAGTTGAGGATCTCCTATATTTGTATATTTTTGCCCAAGGGTGTGAACATTGGGGAATGGAAGTAAATCTTACTGTTTTATCTATAAATCACAGCTATAAATAAAGTACCTTAAAATGTGTGTTTCTGCATATATATATATATATATATATATGGAGTGTGGCAATTAGGAAAAAATAATGTGTAAAATGTTTCCCTGGGGATTGCTGATACTTAAACAAAGTATTGAGAAACATTGCCCCAATCATAATGATCTTGTAACTCTACCTCACTCTATCTACTTGCAAAATTAAGAAAACCACTACAACATGCATACATCTTCAGTTATTCAAGACATGTACAGAATTTATCGCCAATTGATGATCACGTTACTCATATGACTAAGACAATAGTTACTATATCACAAAGTGCACTTCTCCACATTTTGGCAGGAAAAAAGTGACCATGGAGACCATCATGGAAATACCTCTATCCTTCTTCAGTGATACGTACCCAGGTGTGCAATGTTATACCAGCTCTTAATAGCTATAATATCAAGGAGGGAAACAGTTAACTTTGTAAAATGTTTTGTATTTGAGAACCAGACATGGAAATCTCTTCTCCTCTAGTTCCTAGCTGTAAGGCTATGGACACCTTATTTTAAAATCTCTCTGTTCCTTGGTTTTCTTATCCTTACAATCTGGGTGAAAATGGCAATTCCCTTCATGTGACAGTTAATTCAGGTATAACTTTAAAAATCTACACTTACTAATTGTTAGTTTTCTTGGAAGGAAGATTGGACAATCTACTTCTGTATTGATACCACCTAGGAAACCCAAAGAGGGGTCACTATGAGTAGGGTCTGACTCCATGGCACATAACAACAACAAAAATTATTAGTTACTATGATTATTTGCTGAAAGAAGAACTAGGTCTAGTCTAGAACAAGATTCAGTATCAGAGTGCGATCTCCTCTGTTGTTGTTGGCAAAGTCTTTATTTATCTGTAACCTCAACAGAACCTAGAGCAGTGTTTTCCAGGTGCAGGCCATCAATAACTAGTGATGGAATGGATTTTTTTTTTTTTTTTTTTTTTTTTTTTGCATAGTCCCCTTTCTATTGCACAATTGCACATTACTAAATATACTATCGGGAGCTCTGGTAGCATAGTGACTAAGGCACTTGACTGCTAACCAGAAGGCTGGTGGTTCAAACCAAACCTACCAGCCACTCCTCAGAAGGAAGATGGGGCAATCTACTTCCGTAGTGATACTGCCTCGGAAACCCAAGGAGGGGTCACTATGAGTCGGGTCCGACTCGATGGCATATAACAATAACAAATATACTATCAGAATAGTAGCATAATTAGTTATATATTTTAGTAAAAATATTTGCTAATTTATCAGAACATGAGTTTCAGCTCATCATATTATGTTTTCCTGTTGAAAGTTTATTTCTGTATTCCAAAATCTTTTTTTTTAATTGAATGTCTAATCATACCTTAGAAAGGAGAGTGATTTCCCAGACACAGAATGAAAATGAAGAACCTAAAGGGTTTATAATGAAATTTTCACTCAAAGAACAAATCCCTAAGGTTCAATTATTTCTAGCAGAAAATCATTCTCATGACAAACACATATTATTCATTTCTTTGATAATCCTAAAGTCATTGAGGCCATGGATGTTTTCCCACTCCCCAGCATCATTAGGGAATAAAATCTCCTAAGAACGAAGAAGCAATAAGGTTAATTATTTATTTTAATTTACAACTTAAATGTCTTAGTACTTTTTCTCTTGGAGAAATAAGTTCTCTTATTCATAACATGTAAGAAAGAAAGTCCTGTGGTATAAAAAGAACGTTTTGGGTTCTGGAACACCTTTGGGAGATCAATGCACATTTGCTGAACTTGGACCAGCAATTTAAGCCTTGTGTCTTATCTTTTTAATGGAAATGATAATACAAATTTATGGGAATGTGTGGATTTATGGCTAATATGGATGTGCTGGTGTTTCTTCCTTTGCCTTCCCTACCCTCAGCCCAGGTCCTGTGTGCTGCTTTGTCTATCTGTAATCTAACCCCTCTGGGAGCTCTGGTAGTGTAGTGCCTAAGGTACTTGACTGCTAATCAGAAGGCTGGAGGTTCAAACCTATCAGACACTCCTCAGAAGGAAGGTTGGGCATCTACTTCTGTAGTGATACCACCTCGGGAACCGAAGGAGGGGTCGCTATGAGTTGGATCTGACTCAACGGCACATAACAACAACAGTTTAATCCCTCTAGACTGAATAATAGGGTTTCTTTGGTGTCTAGTTTCCATCTGAGTTCAGCTAATGGGAGGCACCCATTAGCATGACAGAGCTAGGAAACAGACAGAAGTAGCTGAATGTTTTTCTCATTCTCTTCTTGCTTCCATATGAAGGTGCTACAGTGACTACACCCATCCAAAGACAACTCCTACTGCCAGTGTATTGGTGAAGAAGATGGGGTAGACTGCACTAGATTCTGGTGACAGTATCTATTGCCCTTACCTATGGGTGAGAATTGCTTTCTGCAATTAGCCTCCAGATGTTCAACTGGATTTGATTTCTTTATCCTCACCTGCATTCTCTGTCTTCCATTAAATTATCTTCAGCTAAACCATCTGAGTGGTATTTTGTTTCAAGCCATACCACGACCCAGGCCAGAGTGGCATATAGTAGTTATTCAATAAACAAGAGTGTGGAGGTAATATCAGTAATAGTGACATCAAGAGAGGCTGCATGGTGGTGCATTCTGCATTTCTGACACTATCAGAGGGGATGAGATCAAAATGATCCCAGAGTTTGTAGAGGCACTGGCAGCAATGCAAAAACTGTCACCACAAGGGGAGGGACAGCCAAAGCAGTGAGGTCTCTAGGATTGGTGTCAACTGTCACCCAGTGCAGAAACACATCACCATCCCCCTCCTATCACCCATCATTCAGAGTATGGGTGGGTGGGTAGCTCTTGTCATTGGTGACCAAAGTGGTTCTCCTTCTTGGCCAGTGAGAGAAGGGTGGGAGTGGAGCTGTGCTGCACTGCTGGGTCCTGAATGTTGTTGTTGTTAAGTGCCGTCGAGTCGTTTCTGACTCATAGCGACCCCATGCACAGCAGAACGAAACACTGCCCGATCCCGCG